CGACGAGGGGCTCTGGCCAAATCCATAACCGGATACCATAAAAACATGGTAAGAAAACAATGTCCGGTGTTAGAACTAGCCAATCAGATGCCAGTTCGGAATATGGATTTGGCCAGAGCCCCTCGTCGCACTCGCACCGCGCGTAAGAAGGGCTCTGGGTACGAGAATGACCAGTTGCCATGACTAGCTTCGCCACTGGTGTAACAAGCCTGATAAAGTATATCGGAGTTGTTACCAGTTATTGGCAATGTTGTCAGAAGTTGCTATGTCGTCTTTGGTCGTGTCAAAAGCGATCTCTACAATTATTACAAATCGGCTCTAACATATACGACGCGGAAAATCCTAGAACATGGAAGTCTTAATGCCACGTCCCGTAATTTGTCTTGTTCAAATTCGTGTTGTCATTAATTCTAATGTGCGTCCCTGTGTTCGTCTTCATTATAGCCTAATCCACTCAATAAAATTTTCTGCAGGAGCGCACGGCATTGGAACTAACGACTTTAGCACTATGTAACTTTCCTTCCGTTACTATCCTGCGGAGGGTTTTCCTGGGTGCAAACTGGCCTTTTTATATTACTAAAGATCTAATGAAAAATGGTGTCATGTTCGTTTTGTCAGGGCTGCTGTATATTAGCGAAAGCTGTAGTATATACCTTGTCATGATTGATAAGTTGTATATTCTTGTTTTTGTACTTGTGCAGATTGTGTGAAATTGGCTAAACATAATAAATAAATAAAGCCCCGTTTACACTACGCTCAATTTTTGGTACGGTACGGATAAAATTGGTACCCGTACCACTTTTTTGGTTCTTGGACTACCTATTTAGCCAAGACCCGTTTACACTACGCTCAATTTTTGGTACCGTACCACTTTTTGGTTCTTGGAATAAATAGGTAGTCCAAGAACCAAAAAAGTGGTACGGGTACCAATTTTATCCGTGCCGTACCAAAAATTGAGCGTGGTGTAAACGGGGCTTAAATCTTGCAACCAGTTTTATAACAGTATAACAATCGAAATGAGGTAAAATAAGTGCATTATAAGTCATTTTCAATACTCTGAAAATGATTTATAATGCACTTATTTTACCTCATTTTAAAGTAGTATACTCCAAAGTTTTATGAAAGCACCATACTCCATAGTTTTATTATTATCACGAATTATTTATTTACAAAATTAGCATGTAAGAAAATAAGGTATAAATATACAAGTAAATAAAAGAAAATTACAATCCGTATTTCACCATAAATACATAGACATACCAAGGTACGGTAATTACGTATCTTTATCTACTTTTTTATACAACTGGCCTCACGATGAATTAGTGATATGAACGTTTTAATTATAATTAGTGAAAATAATCTGTTCATACATTCATAATATCAGTGGAAGAATCAGCTATCCTGCCCACGGTTGCAAGCGAACGTTCTCTCGTCTTTATTCTCAAAATCTTCGCGAATGCTTTCCGAAATCTTGACGATCTCAATCCGTAAGCGAAAAAATTCACACTCGAGTTTGCAATCACGAACAAGAACTGTAAATCTCTCAACCAATGCAGCGTGGTGCAACTACAGGATGCACAGAATGTCATGGCGTAGATCAAGATGGTGCTGGGACCGTAGCAAAGAAGTAAGGCCATCAAAACCACGAGGAAACGTTTGGTTAACCTCTGTTCCAATGTTATATATATTCGAGATTGGTGATTTTCAGGAGTTGCATTTTCGTGTTCCCCTGCGTTTTGTTCTGGGATTATTTTCAAATCTTCTGCTGTATTTTGGTAACTCTCTGGAGGTGGAGGTGTATTTTCATGTTCATTTTGAGAATGGCTTTCAGGGACACCATTTTCTGCAGAATTATTTTGCTGGTGAGACTTTGAGGGTGCATTTTGATGTACTGTTGTATTTTGGTTTGCTGGCGATGTACTTTCACCTCTCTCATTTTGATACTCTGTCAATGCGTTTCCATTTTCTACAACAGTACTTTGAGCATGGCTTTCTGGTGTTCCATTGTCAACTATCGTGACGGGCGTGTCACTTCTTGTTCGCATCTTCAGAGCACGATACATTAGATAGTACATGAAACATATGATAGTAATCGTTATCACAATTGCGGTGTTGGCGAAGATAAAAGCGTACGTTACATATCCAACTTTAAAGTATATGCACGATAGAGCGATAGAGATTGTCCATATGCCGATGGCTGCGCGGAGTACTTGCCTTTTCGTCAGCTGGTTCTTGTAGATATAGGGGTACCTGAAGTAGATAAATCACGTGAGTTACTGAGCGTTATCATGCAGCCACAGAGTAAGTACATACAGAGCTCTCACTTCTGTGGGAAAACCGTATAAACTATAAAGGTTCTTGTCAAGTGCTCTAAAGAGAGGCATTCACCCCCTGGAACATTAAATTTCAATCTGTTTTCAGGGGGGTGACTGCCTCTCTTTAAGGCGCTTGCTAAGAACATGGCGGACTGAAAAAATCCCTTACGCTAAATTAACCGGAAGTGAGATCCCTGTATGTAATTACTCTGTGACTTAACAGATGCTGTTAACTTTAGGGCTCGGTTCAATCTCGAACCCAGGCATGCCCGTTTGCAGGTTGGGCCCTAACCTGCGAACGGGCATGCTCTGGATTCAGGATTTTACTCGGTTCTACGAAAGCTGGATAGCGCAGGGGTTCCTATGGGCTTTGGAAAATTTGGGAAATTGGTTGAGGTGCTTTCCAAGGCCTGGAAAGTTTTGGAAATCTATTGTCACGAAAATCAAAAGTCTATTTTCTGTTACTTGGTGTTGGTTTTGGAAATTTTAATGTAAGAGCTATGGCAAGTTTTGAAAAAGTTTTTGAAATCCAAGCGGACGAAGCTGTACGAATCCTGGCCATCCATCGGATAGTGATTTTTTTTCACGTGTTCTTAAATTGACCGTTGACTGATATACCAAATTTCGCTGCCCTCACCTGATAGCAAGATATCTCTCTACAGCTAAAGTCGCCAGGCTGAGCAATGATGCTGTACAAGAGATAAAATATGACATGAAAAGAACACGCAATTCCCCTAGTGTCACGTGCTCACCCATCCCTTCTTTCCAGTGAATATAAATAGCCACAGGCTCGGTCACAATCCCCACGACCAAGTCCGCGACCGCGAGGTTTGTCATCATGAAGTTGAAAGGAGTACGAAGTTTCTTGTAAGGATCCAGGGCTACAGCGAGGATCTCTAGGAGGTTCCCAGGGATATTTAGGATCATTAAGAGGAATGCAATAGACATGGTAAGGTAGGACATGTTGGGTATTGAGTCAATTCCATGACATTCATCTTCCAACTGCAACGCGCACAGTGCCATTGTGGGATATCTTTGAGACCTGGCTTATACACTGTAATAGCCCAGGCTGATTGTATACCTGGAAAAAATAGCAAGGCAATAAAGTCAGTACGTAATAACAGTTGGTTTATTTTGGTAGTACCTGAGGACAAATTCCATTCTTGGGTTAAAGCCTGGGCGTACAAGGAATTAGTTTGCAAAACATTGTTCATAGCCATTGTTTCCTACAATCTTCCACGAAATATATTGAGACTTTTGGAATCCACTCCCCCCCTGTTCAAATATTGAAATGCAATTATCTTCCTGACAGAAATGTCACGTGACCCAACAACTGCCCCATCGGCATACAAAAACTAATGCATGATATTAGAATAAAATAATTTTACAGCACAAAGCAACATTGAAATGAGAGGAGGGGGGTTTGTCTCAAATATTTTGTGGACGATTGTAGCCATGTTTCTCTTTTCTTGAGCAAATCTCTAATCAAACCAGGAAGCTTTGTTTCCCGAAGGTGAACAAACAAATCAAGAAACACTGTTTCGTAGCCATGTTTCGCGAAAGTTGGCAAACCAGGAAACTGGTCCAACTAGGAAACATATTGTTTTCATAAAAACGTCAGTCTTGTGAAACCTAATAGTGAGCTTAAGCAAGTGACGTTTTTGACAACACGGACGTCAACCGGAAGTAAAGTTGACGTTTTCCACCAATCACAACCCTTGACCCAGTCTTCTGACGTTACTCATGCCGTCCGTGTTGTCAAAACGTCACTAATACGTTTCTAACTTCGGTAGGAAACGTCTTTACTTCCGGGAGGCTAGGTTTGTTTCCGGAAGCTAGACTTCTTATGTAAATCTCGCAAGATAAATAAAACGTGATGTTTCCAAAGGGCAAAATGAGATTATCACGAACCTACAAAATACCTGAATTTTTTTTCTATTATTAACATTATGTATTACCCTAGTATTACCAAAATATAAATATTAATATACAGATACGACATTTGTGCAGCATGTATATACTGCAATCTGTATATCGTTTATATACAGATTTCATAAACACCATTGTAAAATCACTGCAGCTAAAGATTCTGGAACGTGATAGTATAATTAATTAAAGTACAAATTTAAGCTCGATCAATTAACTCGTACAAAAATAAGAAAGCTTCGGGTCGATAGGGATTCAACTACCTGAAAAATACAAGAAGATCTAGAACTTCGACGTTTTGAGCGAAGGCGCTTCGATCGGGAAGGGTATAGTTGTAGTTGGTTATATACCCTGGTATAGAGACTTTTTAAGATGTATCACTGTAAAAAAGTAGCTATATATAGCACCCTACCTATTATAGCCCTAGGTATATTTTTAAACAATAAGATTCCGGAAAATGCATATAACATACTATAAAACCGAGTATGAAACTTTATAAGATGAAGAAATGTGAATCTTAGCCGTACTTGTGAATCTCGAAATCAAAAACATGATTCTTATCAATGTTAGATCTTATTTGAATCAGTAAGTATGTTTTATAATGCAACTTTAATACAATACAAATACACTTTCCGCAAATATTTTTATAAACAAAGGGACGAATACCATTTCCTTGGAATGATATGATAGTATTAAACCAAATAAAATTATAAATCATAGAAAAATGAACTTACTTATTTGTTTCCTGCCCGACTCTGAATCCAACACTATATTTATGAAACAATGATAAAGTCGCATGAAAACTGAAATGTTTCACATTGAGTCTGATACTGTCTCAGATGAAGGGTTTAAGTGGTTTATTAAGTATATTTGGGGTGGTGCCATGTTTTGAGTGGGTGGTTGGTAACCTGAAACTAGATATTCGGTTTCATTCTATATAAGGTGTGTTGCATACTTCGCTTTTTATTGAAGACGCTTCCTATGTCGTAACAAGGTCAATGGGGAGGTCAATGGGATGCTTTTTATTTATTTATAAAAAAATAAATTTAAAATAATTTTTTCTTCTGGATCATTCGATCATTTGGTAGAGCAGATTTGCACGACACAACTTTTGCCTAAAACTGTCGCATGCAACCTGCTTACAAGGTTGTAAGTAAGTTGTAAGCAGGTTGCACGCGAGTTTATCTCACTCGCTCATGTTGGTCTTAAACTAAAACCTAAGAGAGACCTAATGCACTTGTAAATATTTAAATATGCAAATCCTAGCAAGTTAACCCCACTTAGAACTGCTACCATTCTAACAGTCAACAGAAATTTTATATATACTTGTGTAAAACTACTGGCCGAACATTTTTATAAAACGTTCATACACTTATACCCCTGAATGGCACTTTCATCGTAACTAAAACTAACATAGGCACTAGTGTTGGTGTTGGAAGTTGAATGTTGTTCTTTTTGGATATTGCACCGCGTTGCATTGCATTGCACTGCATTCAATTGCATTGCTTTTGCACTGCATTGCGTTACAATAAGTACGTCACGTCGGATTGCGTTGCGTTGCATTGCATTAAATTGCATTGCGTTGCACTGCATTGTATTCTGTAGTTTTGTATTGTGATACGTTGTTTTGTGTTGTATTCTTAAAATTTAGCAATTTTCAAGGGGCCCACAGTAATTGGTTCAATCGAAAATGCATCGCTCGCCTAAATTTGAAATTTCGTGTACTGGTAAAATGGTAGCATGTAAAATGGAGTCTCATACGTTCGGAAGGCATGCAGTTGAGTGGGGTCCTTCCAGCCTTAAAGTCATGGGTCATGATATTTATCTGAACATAAAAAATAAAAATACGGGAAATAAAAACAAAAATGTGCAGGTTAAAAATACTTGACTGCCTATCGCAGTGGGGAGTGTAGGTTTGCCAGCGACACACAGGACGACCAGAAAGAACGGCGTTGCATATCCAAAACATAAAATGACAAATTTTAAAACAAATTAAGCTCCAGAATACTTTATGCACTCATCTCTCTACTATAATTTAACCCTTTAAATGGCAATGCACCCACTTTTTATTTTACTCTGTCTAATGCCAGATGATTTTACTCGTCAGGGGGAGAGTGCTCCAACTCAATGGGATTAAACCGGCATTCATAGTATCTTTATGCCAGAAAAAAACGAATGCGCAGCGACTTGCCGTCATCAACTTCGACAAGAAGTTCTTCTAACACTTCAACTCGCTATAAAATATCAAAATTTCACATCAAATTGAGATATAGATCACGATTCAACATACCTTAATCCCTGTCTTTACCTTTGGATGCTGACTGCTGCTTATATTCCACATTAACTTCTGATATTGCACATTTGCCCCTTGTTGGCATCCCTCGTAGTATTGCACATTTTGACCAAGATATCCACCACAATAATGCACAATTGCCCAGGATATCCACCATTATTCTTCAACGATGTGGTAGGGTGGGGGTAATTTCACAGCTGGTGTTGAAAAAAGGTTTGGGGTCCGATCCTGAGGGGTCTAAGGCGTGGATTTCACGCATGAAGCCTTAACTTAGCTGGTCGAGTTTATCTCACTCGCTCATGTTGGTCTTAAACTAAATCCTAAGAGAGACCTAATGTACTTGTAAATATTTAAATGTGCAAATCCTGGCAAGTTAACCCCACTTACAAGCTACCATTCTAACAGTCAACAGAAATTTTAGCATGAAGTTTAATAACGCTATATATATTTGTGTAAAACTACTGGCCGAACATTTTTATAAAACGTTCATACACTTGTATCCCTGAATGGCACTTTCATCGTAACTAAAACTAACATAGGCACTGGTGTTGGTGTTGGAAGCAGGGCCGCCCAGAGGGGGGGGGGGGCAAAGGGGGCAAATTGCCCCGGGCCCCGAGTTGCTGGGGGCCCCTGAAAAATTTTTGTAGGGCCCCAGCCTTTTTTGTGTGTTAAATATTTCCGCGCAAAGGACAAGATATCTGTTTTCTTGGGCTAAGTACCGAATTTTGGCATAAAAAAATGAGATAAAGTCCCTCGAAAGCATTTGCAACGTACTCGTGCGGCAAAATTTTGTACTCCGGAAAAATTTTTTTACCCCTAAAATGGTACACTGACTGAAAATTTTTTTGCGACGGGGGGGGGGGCGAGGTTGTTATCCGGAAAAAAATTTTTCCGGGAAAATTTTTTTAGATAGGGGCCCCTTAAAAAAAAATTTGTCCCGGGCCCCCGCTTTCGCCCCCGCCCTCGCCCCCGCCAACCTCTGGGCGGCCCTGTGAAGCCCCGTTTACACTAGGCTCAATTTTTGGTACGGCACGAATAAAATTGGTACCCGTACCACTTTTTTGGTTCTTGGACTACATATTTAGGTCATTTAGGTAGTCCAAGAACCAAAAAGTGGAACGGCACCAAAAATTGAGTCTATTGTCTCTTTGGCGGTCATAATCAAACAAGCGCGTAATCTGATCGTATTAACGCCTAAGCCAGATTACTGATACCAACGTCCGATCCTGTGTCTATAATTAACTATGGTCTATACTTTACGTCATAGCTAGGGGTGTAGCTGACCAGTATTAGTTCACTGCGCGGTTGAGATAAAATTTTAGTTAAAAGGGTGAGCGACCATCTTAGGTGGAAAAGAGTAAAGCGACATTCGCACGAGACAGGACGAATTCGAAACTGTATTAGGCGCTGGGGAGGGGGGGGGGGCAGGGCGAGGGAAGCTGGGGGGACGCTATACGCAAATGCATCCGGTTCACACGGGAATTTATACGCCGATTAATTAAGCCAGGTTTCCATTTGGTCTTAAAATTAGTTTGCCTTTAAAATTGGTCTAAAAATAGTCGGATCTATTGTGTTCTGTAGACTGAATTTTACTCTTTTTACATCGGCCACATTTATATGTTCAAGGGAGTTCAGATCATTGAATGGAAACCCGGCTTTTACCAGCTGTGCTTGAAGTCACTTTCGTGGGTCCCGTGGGAACTAGCCCGAGTTGCTGGGACAACCAAATGCAGAATCAAGTCGTGATGAAGTTCCACTCTTGAAGCGGATGTAAGGTGGCGAATTATCGCCTTCCTTGAATTTCAGCCGGGCAATCAATATCGTTCAATTATCGAGCCGCGCCTCCCTAGTCAGTTTCGCTGCCAGCTCCTTAACCCTTAAAACCGCAGCCACGCAGGCGAGTGCTGGAATGCCAAGTACACAATCATGAAAATAAATCAGGGCAAAGCACCGCAACAGTTTATACTCATTACTCACTTTATATTATAACCCACAAATTATTGAAAATCCACAGAAATCATTACAGCTACAAATTCTTACTGTGAAATAAAAATCAAGTATAAGGAATGCTTGTTATGAATATTTATTTAATTTGCACATTCTGGACCAAAGTATAGCTTTGTACGTATATGTCGTATGTTTATTGAATGCAGAAAATGTGGGATTTTTCAAGACGGCGAAGTCGGCATGACAAGCACTTTTCATTGCCTCTGATGCAAAATCATCTGATTGGGACTGCGCATGATATCTATTCATTTCAATTAGTGCATTATTCTTAAAATGAACCTATATTTTGCCGGTTTTCTACAAAGGGAAAACCCCACTCGACTAACACAACAATATTCGTGCAACCCGTGCATTCGTGTCCAACAATATCCCGCTGCCAGTATTAAAACTAGAACTTGAGAACAATGAAATCTTTATGTTCTCCTTTCCGTTTAAGATCTTAAGAAATACCTTCAATTTGAAGGTATTTTCTAGTTCAATAATTTCTCCTAAATATGTGCATGCAACAATGATTATGAAGCGTTTTCGTTTTGTTCAATCGCTAAATACGACTGTCTATGCGATCAGTGGAAGAATGTGTTTCTCTTGTCCCAGAGTTGGACACCTGCTCCGGTCTCCCCATTCTCTTGATTCTCAAGATATGCGCGAACGCATTCCTGAACCTTGGCGATCTCAGCGCGTAGCAGAAGAAATTCACGCTGCTATTCATAATGACAAACAGAAACTGAAGATCTCGAAACCAATGCAGGGCGGTACAACTACAGCTTTCACAAAAACTCATCGCATAGATAAACACCGTCGAAGGACCGTAACAACACAGAAGAGCCAGTAACACCACGAAGAACATTTTGGTCACCTTTCGTTCCCATTTCGCAGCAGTTTGACTTTGCGCGTTGCGCTCCACGGGGGCTTGCGTCTTTTCCTGCTCGGCGTTATGGTTCGTGTACGTGACCGCGTCATCGCCCCGCGCACGTTGTTGAAACGCACGTATCATTAAGCCAAACGTGAAACACGTTATAGTGATCGCGAGCACGATTGCAGTATTGGCGAAGATGAAGGCGTATGTGATGTAGCCGACTTCGAAGTAAACGAAAGGAAGGGTGATTGAGACGAGCCAAATACATCCAACTGTCGCGAAGACACGCTTCGTCGTGAACCTAAAACAGATGAAACAATGAATGACTGCAGCTATAGACGACATTTTGTAAAATTGCAAAGTTTGGTTGCGAATTGTTGTAAAATGAGGAAAATATAGTCCTGTGAAGTTCACAAATTTTGTATATATTTGTATTACGCGCGGGAAAAATAACCATTTTTGAGCCGAACATGCATGTATGTTATTTTCCCTTGGGCCTGCACGCGGGCTAGTATGTTATGTTAAGAGCATAACCACAACAAGTATGTTAATTAAGAGCATCTTAACATAACATAACGTAACATAACATAACATAACACACTAAATATGTTATGTTATGTTAAATTTTGATTTTGCCGCTCACGACAACTGGACTTTGTAACTCAGTTGGATGGAGCGCTGCACCGGAATCGCAGTGCCGCAGGTTTGATTCCTGTCTAGCCTGTGCAGCCGGCGGTTTTAAGGGTTGGGGATTTTCCTGTGGATTTTCGTTGCCCGCGCCTCGGACCCCAACCCTTAAAACCGCCGGCTACGCAGGCTAATTCCTGCCAGAAGGCTATGTAGTTGCATTTTTTGCAACTTAATTAGGCCCCATGGGGTTAAGCCAGTTTTCCACTTCAATCGTACCGTAGCGTAGCTAGGTAGGCTAGGTAGGGTCGGGAAACCGGAAAGCCACACATTTTTGGGGGGCTAACTGGGGCCTTACTGCTCCTGGTTAGGTTTAAGAAATGTATAAAATTCACACACAAAATTTTTATCAATACTAAACCCTTCTACTTGTAATAGTATCATTACTTGTTCCTGTAGGTGTGTGGATTCCTGACCGCCAAATATCTCTCCACGGCTAAAGTTGCCAAGCTGAGAACTGATGCTGTACAGGATATGAAATAAGACATATGTAAGACCTGGACCTCGGCTTTCAACAGCTTAGCATTGGTCCCTTCTTTCCAATGGATGTATATGGATGAAGGATCGGTCACTGTCCCCACGATCAAATCCGCGAGTGCAAGATTTGCCATCAAGTAATTGAAAGGGGTACGTAGGTTCTTGTATGGATCTTTAGCTACAGCTAGGATCACTAAGATGTTACCAGGGATATTTAGGATCATGAAGAGGATAGAGAAAGTTGTGGTAAAGAAAGAGAGCGCAGTTGGAGCACCTAAGGTTAGGCAACGTTTTTCAAATGATCCTTGAAAGTATGCCATGGTTGATCGTTTGTTTTCTATATAAAATAAAGATTGAGAAACTGTTAACCTTACAATATAGCTACACTAGCTAATAAGCTATGTAAAAACAAATTTCGAAAAGACAAGACATCTTGAGAATTCAATATATGATTCAAAACAAGACGCAGGTTGAGACTGTAAATTTTCGACTTTCATTCAAAGTCATCTTTAGACAGTATGATTCTGTCTCAATCTGACACTTGTAATCATTCTGTCCAGGGGCGTAGGAACCGGGGGGCCAGGGGAGGGGCAGCCCCCCCCCCCAAGTTTGGCCAAGTGTCCTTTTTCCGGGAGCAAAGTGCCCTTTTCTTGCGTGAAAAATATCATTAAGATTGCATTTTTTGGCACTTTTGAAAACTTAAATTTATGTTATCTGGAAAATTTTTTGGTATATCCGAAAATTTTTTTTCATATTTAGGAAACTGAAAGTGATATATCCGGAAAATTTTTTTTGGTGTGTCCGGAAAATTTTTTTGTGATGACTCCCCCCCCCCGTCGCCAACACAGTTCCAGGAAAAAAAATTTACGGATGCCTTTTTTACTCGCAAAATGCCCCTCAAAGCCTGCCGCCCAATTATTAGCCAACAATTTACAGTCTAAACCGGCGTCTTATTTTGAATCATATATTGCATTCTCAAGATGTCTTGTCTTTTCGAAATTTGTTTTTTACTTTACTTTTTTAAACTCGGTCGGCTGGTCATGGTTTGCCTTTTTTAATAAGCTAAAGTAGCCTTATCAGTTCTAAACAATTGTTCTAAACTGTTCTCTCCAGTGAGGGTCATCCCTTCTTGACATCGGAGAGAAGCCGTGAGAAAATTAGACTTAAAATCATAATTGCAAATGTTATGTTCGATTATTTGGCAGGTACTCCAGTTAGAGTATTCTTTGACTTGTTAACATTAATGTTCTTGTTTGTGATGTTACTCTGAGTGTATATCCACACCGGGCGAGCTTGAAAAATATGCCTGGCCATGGTGGGAATCGAACCTACGACCTTTGGAATACCAGCCCAATGCTCTTCCAACTGAGCTACGCGGTCAGGTCGGTTCGAGTATTAAAGTGATATTTCGGAACAGAATCTAGTTCCTTCGATATCAATGTAATCTAGTAATATGATTTTTTTCTGTGTTGGTGTTGTGTACTCAGGTGTTGTGTGCTCAGGTGAATAAAAAAAAAGAAAAAAGTCATATAACTAGATTACATTGATATATATATCGAAGGAACTAGATTCTGTTCCGAAATATCACTTACTCGAACCGACCTGACCGCGTAGCTCAGTTGGCAGAGTATTGGGCTAGTATTCCAAAGGTCGTAGGTTCGATTCCCAACGTGCCCAGGCATATTTTTCAAGCTCGCGCCCGGTGTGGATATACACTCAGAGTAACATCACAAACATCATATTCACCTGAGTACACAACACTACACTCAGGCTAACACAACACCAACACGAAAAAAAATTAATGTTCTTGTTTTAAAAGTTATTTTAATAAATGGAAAAAATTGAGTATCGGTATCGATTTTGGTATCTGTATCGACTAAAATTCATGGTATCGGACTGGTATCGTATCGAAACCAAAAAAGCTGGTATCGCCCATCACTACTTTACAGCCATGAATTTTAATTAGACTCTTTTGTCTGGAACACATGAAGTGATGAGAAGAATCATATGGAAGAATGTTCTAAACAGGAAGTTTTGAAAGAATTCGGATGTATGACCGCATGCTGACACAAGATATTTCTCTTTTACAAAACATCATGTGAAGCCAATAAACCAAATATGTGAATAAACTCGGAAGTAACGAAACAGTGGCTTTCTTCTGGCTTTCCCAAACTTTGTTGAATTTAGGTCTAAAAACTAATTCATTAAGTCTCGCAAAATATGTTGTTTTCTCTACATTCCCTAAGCAAATCAATCACGCTTAAAATCATGCTTATCAATTTACATGTTTGGGCATGCAGCTTTTTAAAAAGCGCTTTGCGCACTTCCTCTGAAATGAGTCGTGATCAATATTAAATCATTCTTCATTTAACATCAGAATTTCAATTATTAAATCATTCTTCATTTAACATCAGAATTTCAATTGAAAAGTGAGATTCGAGGCAAAAACAAAACATTCTACGATCTTCTCATAAGTGCAGCGACTGGGGTCATTTCAATTAATGTGCCACTTTTGGCAAAGGTCCAATATTGCATGTTTACAACCCTAGTATAATATTTGTTTTTTAAAAATGAAACAAATAGTGGTATCAATCATTATATCATACTTGTCACAATGGTGTATATCATATATTAAAGAATAATAACCTGCTTCAATCAAAAAATATAAAATCATCTGCGTTAAAATGACAAGTGGAGAAATATTATCTTTCTTAAATAAATTCCACGCGCTACTTCCTGGTTGGCGCTTGTCGCATCCCTTCCTTGAAGAAAACTGCACAACAACAATTTGTCGAGTTGGCCATCAGCCCAAGAAAGATGGCAAACTTACCGCAGTTTGTGTATGAATTCCATGAAGAATATTAAAAACATTTTGACGTTTTGAAGGAAGACCCCTGGCCAGGAAGTTATTAAACTCCAGTCTCCAGCTGAGAGTCTTCGCAATCCAAGTGTTTTTCAGGCGATTCAGCCGCAAACCATGACAAAATATTCAAATATCAAGGCTGTTCTTAACGTCCTCTACATGCTTAGTTCGTATGCACGCAGATTTATTTAGTATATATAGATGTCAACTCAAAATCTTCACTTACCGAGGGTTTCATCCAAGTGATCTCATTTGGGGCGAAACCAACCAAGGTGGAAATGAAGACAGTATACTCTATTTCCTCTATACCGTTATGATATTGAGCACTCTCTGAAATTTCGTGAACCGATACACTAATTTTCTACACTTGTAGTGGCACTACAAGCTGAAACTGCCGGAGTAATACAGTAAGGAAGTCGTACTCTAAATCAGCTTGGCAGATTAACAAAGCCTTTGAACTTAATTTCCTAAAACAATCTTATTACTAGAGAAGGTTTTGAGCCTTACAAATACAAAATTTGTTCGCATGAGTCAAGCTACATAATAAAAACGCATTTGGCGCCTCATCAAGGAGAGTTGGTTTGAGAGTCGTGCCATGTCTATGTGTTCATAAATCGTAATTATTACCCATGCAAAGTTGAAAGTTCTTTTAGAGTATTGTATCAATATTATGCTAAGAATATAAACAGGTTACTTACCAACTTCACCTTTCTTTTTGACCTTTTAAAATGCTCGCTTTCTAAAGCTTCGAAGATGTGGGCTTCGTCTCTCTAAACGTCAAGTTGTATTATGCACTGCAATTTAAGCGCACCTTTATTGAAAGCGATCAAACGTAACAGCCAAACAATGACGGCGATTTGGTAATTTGATAACATGCAAATTATAATGAATTGGATTTTACAGCAGTGTGCGTACCAAACGAGTGTCAAATGACAATGCCAACTTCGTGTCGTCAGTGGGTATTATATGAGGGTATTAATTTACTGCACTCTCTAAAAGATTGCCACACTCTCTAAAAGTTAAAATAACGTGTAATTTATGCAGGATGCGGTCACAGTAAACGCCCAGAAATTGGTTACTAATTGCTACGTTGCAGACAGAGTCAAGTGCTTTGGAGAATATTTCTTTGAGAGATCTTTTATTGTGTTGGAAACATTGATTATGTATTGCGGTATCTTCTGAACAGCAAGTCATGAAAAATACCACGTTTTAGTTTGTTGTTTGCGCAAGTAATGATATTGTATGCCGCGTATCACGGATGATGATCAAACCTCAGAAATACTGACACTGGGCAAGAAAATGAAATCTACACTAACTTCTTAAGGAAGGGCGTTTATTCAAAGTTCTCTTTATATCTTTCAGATAAGTAACACAAAATGAGGGCCTATTTATAATTAAGCTACATCCCAGATAAAGAGATGGTTTAATGCAAACGAAGCTTCAGATTGCTAGGGATGCAACTTCCGGAAAAATACAAGGAGAACTTTGACGTTTCGAGCGAAGACCCCACTTCGTCGGGAAGTTAGCGCCTGGGTCACACGAGTGAGATAAATACAAGAAAACACAAAACAAAGAAATGCAGTGGAACACGTGACATAAGCTTGAACATAAACTGCGCAAGCTTAAAGCCTGGTTCACACCAAGTTGGCTTCACACTAGCAATAGCCTAGCAATGGACCTATTACCTAATGAACAAAATTTTGATCTAGACAAACATTTCATCACAGCTTGAAAGAGCATCACAAAGTTAGTAATATTCATAGGTAATATTCTGAAGTTTCGCTGCGAAATGTTGTAAAATGCGGATAATATAGCACTGCGAAGTTTGCCGTTTTTCAGTCATTTTGTATTACGCACGGGAAATTGATACCGCTTTCTGAAAAAAGGTATCAATTTCCCGTGCGTAATACAAAATGACTGAAAAACGGCAAACTTCGCAGGGCTATAATTAATACTATATTATCCGCATTTTACAACATTTCACAACGAAACTTCGGAATATTACTAACTTTGTGATGCTCTTTCAAGCTGTGATGAAATGTTTGTATAGACTTGTCTAGATCATAATTTTGTTCATTAGGGAATAGGTCCATTCTGTTCGGCGATTTTTCCTCCTCCTGGCAGATGTGATCGAATGAATGACATGTAAAAGACTTAGAATTGTTTACTTCTGAAAAGCGACTCTATACTTTTGTCTGCGAGTTCACTCATTTGCATCCGTCAGAAACACAAAATCACCGACAAAATTGCTAGTGTGAACCAGGCTTTAAGCAGAAATAATAAGATAGATAAGATAAAACTTTTTTAGATGCGCTTACTCCTTACTCCAAAAGGTTAGTCAACCCCATAAGAGTCGGACGTGTTTTTATTAGCTCCGGTATTAAAATTTAAAAGGTACATGAATAAAGTAACATAACACACACTAATAATATAAATATTATATATATATATAACAAAGAGTAACTAAAGCAGGCTAGTGTATAAGGGGAAAGACATTTTCTGGATCAGTTACTAGGCATCTCACTCCATCTAATGTTGAAGGATTTTGTAGATGGAAACTAAGGAAACTTCGAGTGTTCCTGGATAGGTCTAATAAACGTATAAAATTCACACTCGAAAATTCCATCTAAAAAACACTTCAACATTGGCACAGAATAGAGACTGTCTTTATTCTGTGATATTGGAGTGGTTAAGATTGACATCGACGGCAGACCACTAACCACAAACTTCAATTCACATTTGAAGGAAAGTTCTACAAGTTTCCGAAGGTTTGGACAAGTTTTTAGTCAATTTATTCTTCAATTTTAATGTACAAATTGTCCTAATTTCAAGTAGTTTACAGTTGATCTCAAAAAACGACTAAAATTAACCTCTCTAATAACTAAACTGGCTACGCAGTCAAATTGCTACGCAGCCTTCGTTGAATTCAGAAAAAAACTACAACTATAAACTGCATGATATAATATTATGTTGCTGCTTCGTTCTCAATAAAAAATATATAATGATTTTAAATGTTGTTGCTTCGTTGTCAACAAATCATGCAATATAGCCAATATATCAATACAACAGTCAACATGTTGTTGCTTCGTTCTTCATTTCACTGCGTAGCCAAATGACTGCGTATAGCCATTTCACTGCAGTTGACTACGAAGCCACTTGACTGCTTGAAGCTTTTTATGGCAGGGTATTCTGCAATTGCTCCTCTTTTACTATTTGTATTTCAACCTACGGGTTGCGAAGCCTATATTTCTTATAATAAAACTAATCTAAAATCTAATATCAATGTAAACACCTAAATCTAAATACTTTTGACTGCTTGTCAAAGTATTGTAGTTTGCGTGAGAGTTTTCTCAACTCTCGGCGCTCCGGTAAAACGAGAACAAGAGTTGCATGAGAGTTATATATAATTGATGAGAGTTGAGATGTGAGAGTTTGCATGAGAGTTTTCTCAACTCTCGTGCCCCAAACGAGAACAAGAGTTGCATGAGAGTTGATGATAATTGACTGGATATTTACCTTTACTATACTATATTTACTCTCATAGTAAACTCTCATCAAATTTGAACCAACTCAATAGTTGATAAGAGGTGACGAGAGTCGATGAGATTTTGCAACTCTCATTTCACCGAGACTTTATACTCCTAAACTTATAACTTGTATAAAAATAAAATTTACACACACTTTTAGAGTCTAATAAAAAATGAAAGTTAAACAATCTGGTCCCATTCACAAGTTGCACTTGTAGACTTTGATTTGAAATAAGGTGGATCAGTTCTGTTTTGAAACGTTGCAAGGAAATAGGATGTCACGATTCAGTAGCATTATGATTGACATAATTGACAAGTTCTTCGATGACTTTTCCGACTCCTAAAACGCTTAGCGCCGTTGCTTCATGGAAAAGCATTTGTTAGTAGAACTACACGTTTTCCAGAGTGGAAAATAAATATAGTTTGAAATACAATGGGAGTGATCAAAACAGGAATATCTTTGTTTGCACTCTGCATGACATTGTCAGGGCCGTCGCTATAGGGAGTGTGTATGGGGTGTGACACCCCCTGAAAAGGGTTGAACTGAACGTTAACTTTGTACGACATACCAGATGTGTGAATGTTTCCGTTCTTGACACGAAATGTGCCGAAAATTCGGAAGGGGAGATGAGCGAGGGCCAGCTGTATAGTCACTTCGAAATTTAAATGTTTACTCAATAATTGTGAATGAAATTTTTTCATAGCAACCATGGATTTCCTTTGCGCAGATACATGTACGCCTAGCGTACCTATTTTTAAAACTAGTAATGTTTTATTCAAACTGGTAAATATTTTCAAAGCCCCCCTTCTTTCGTCTCTCTGTATTTTTTCAAAGCCCCCCCTTTCAGGTTTTAAAAAATTTAAAGGCCCCCCCCAGTTTCTCCTCAATCCCCCCCTGTACAATAAATAATGAGGGGTCCCTAAAGCCCGTTCTCCACTAGGCGAATTTATTCGCGCGAACAGATAAAAAGTAGGAAGCGATCCTACTTTTTCGCCGCGAATTTTTTCGCCGACCAATCACGTTGCCGGATTTCGGTTTTCGCTTCGCGTCGCGCGAACAAATTCGCCTAGTGGAGAACGGGCTTAAGGTGTGCTTTTAAAGGATGCAATGTTTGCTGTGATTTTCGGCTTTAATAACACCTCTCGCGAGTCCAGTGGTCAGCTCTCGAGTCGCATCACATACGGGACTTTGGGGGCGGGTTTTGGCGGGAAAATCTGTAATGTTTGGAGAAGACAAGATGGCGCTGGACTCTGGTTACCTTGTGTTATATCAAAGGGCATTTTTTTTACAAATACCCGCTTATTTTACGTTTTAGCGACTCGTTAGTCTTGAAAATTATAACTCAATGGACAGGGAAAACGATTCTGTATTAAGGAGAAAAAGATGTGCAGTTATTGTGATGTTATTTGTTGTGAAAGACGGCCCGAAATTTCGCTACTTCGCTTTACTGGTTTATAAAACATTTAAAAGCAACAGCAATTGAACTATATCACAAAGGAACCGATGTATACAAGCCAATCAAGTTCTTCAGTTTAAAGGTCAGTTTACTTTTTAATAATTAGTTCATTTAGTTGTATATTAATACGAAGTACTGGAACAGTACGCCGAGTTTGATTTGCTATATTGAAATTTGTACTGTAGTCGGAATAAGATAAGGTATGGATAAACAGAGCCCAACCCCTTCTCTAACCCTAACCAATAAATGTGTAATGAACTATTTGAGAGTTAAAAAGGTTGGGGGGAAATTTTAAAATATTTTAATGCACATATCAACGGCCTGCCCGGGGGGTACACCCCGGGACAATCGGGGGGGAAACAAGGGGGAATTTGGTATTTTATCCGTGTATTCTGCCCGTGAACCCCGGGGAAATTACAAACTTCGCAATAATAGGACGACGGGGGGAGGGAAAGTAGGGGACTTTGACGTGACAATTTGAATTTTATAAATGAACTGAGAACTGACCGGAGTGCATGGAATGCACACTGGTCTACGGGGCTGTTTATATGGAAGCCGGACTGGCCCACTAAACGAGACAGATTTTATATCGCTTGCTGGCCTAGAAATTATTTAATACATTGGGTCATTCCAGAAAACATCCATACCACCCCCACAGAGGAAATAGGAAGTTAACCCCCCTTTGGATGCAGGGTCTTAGCCAGAGGGCCGTGTTGGCCGTGTTATCGCGGCCAAAAAGGGAAAAACACGGCTAGATAAAATGAATGCGGTTTCATTATTTATATAAGGCTGTGTAGGTTCATAAAATAACAGACAGAATTTCTTCCTATTCACTGTACGTTGTAAGAAAGTTTGTAAAATCTACGGTTATTGTTGAAATTGGCGAAAGTGATCTGCATGTGATCTTTTAATGTTTTGGTGGATAATGGGAACTGTATGGTGTTACAATGGTTTTAAATACCCCCAAGAGTTGCTGAAAAAACTTAATATTTTAATGTCAGTGCGTAATATGAGCGTATGCTCGCCTTGTATTTGGTTGCAAAGCATAGAACAACCACAGGTATGGTCTGTTGTTGGCGACCATAACTAGAACCGTGAATTTGGCTATTTGAGGTAATTGACATGTGCACACCCTGGTCATTTAGAAACACGCCCAAGTTCTAAAATCCTAGCTAAGACCCTGTTCGGATGTCCTAATACATTTACTATTTCAGAACCATCCTCAGAGATATACGAAAAACTAGTTTCATATTATCAGAAACAATTTTTTCTTCCCTCCCTTTCCGGACAGCAGAAATTTCCTCCGTGGGGGGAGTATGGATGTTTTCTGGAACGACCGATTGCACTCAATGGACCATTTGCATTATAGACTAAATTTTGAACTAAACCGAAAGGGGGGGGGAGAGGAATGTGGATATGTTTGTCTGAAGGTTTGAGACTGTGATAAAGTTATGTGATCGGTGATTATAATGAGCACGCAATTTTTATCGGCTATATGTAGCTCTTGAACACCGGAACGTTTATGTAACAGCAATAATTATACGTCCACGTAACTCGTAAGCAAAATAAGCGGCCCACTTTTGCATGCATGGCCACCAAAAACTAACTAGCTGTAACAGCGTATCTTGCATGTTGAGAATGAGTCGAAAATTGACATGCTTTATTTATATAAAAGTTTTGCAGTTTTCGTTTGTATATACAGAGCTTTCAAAATAACCCGGCTGCCGCCAAAGCTCCGGCAGGTGGCACGAGATTCACCGCCGGTTGTTTTGTTTTGTACTTGAAATATCGATTCTACTTTCCTTCCTCCACTCGTCTCTGAGCTTTCAAACAAAGTTACTTTTCATCAACCTTGTCTAATTTATAGCCTGGTTATTTTCGAAAATAACGTACTATTTCGTTAAACCGATTTAGTTATTCGCCATCTTAAATCTTGAAGTTATTTTGTTGAAGAATGAAAGTAGTGATACATTATAATTTGGTTACAGAGCTCATGCAGTTGTGTTGCTGTCTAATCAATGATGTTGCTATATCTAATCAATATACAATGAATGATTAATAAAGATGACTTTAAGACTCCCTAGACCACTCTCTCCCAACAGCCACCTACTTTATCAAAACAGACACCTACTCAGAATAATTCTGAAAGCCCTGTATATATAAGTTTGAATTATTCAAGTGTTAAAAATAATAGTTATTAATAAACAGTTGCTCGAATTAAGAGACTGCTATGTGAACTGAACTCAAAACAATTTGTTTTAGTATATAGTCAGTAAAGCTTCCTTGCGAGGTGCATGTCTAGAAAATAGAAATGGCTTTCATATTACTGTAAGGGCGAGGTTAAGGAATGCAGTAATACTAAAAAAATGCATTAACATGTAAAGCCTGGTTCACATAAAATCGTTAAGCAGTCGCAGAATGTCGCAGACATGTGCCGAATTTTTATATGAACGATCTGCGACAGTCGGGAAAGTTGAACCAAGTTCAACTTTCCCGACCGTCGCCGATCCGGTCTCAGACAGTCTGTGCGAATCTGCATTCGGCACATGTCTGCGACTGCTTGACGATTTTATGTGAACCAGGCTTAAGTAAACATAGCAATGCTTGTCAATCAGTCGCAAGTGACATCGAAATCAGTCCGAATTTTACTTGAACGAACTTCGAAGTGAATTTCTGCAAATTATCCGACAAAACCTGCCACATGTTTGTGTTCGCAAGTCACAAGAAGCCGCCAAGTGTTCCGCCATGCCGGTGTCTCAGAAGATTCGCCCCCCCCAGGAGATTCGCGCCCCCCCCCCCTCTCAAAAGGGGGGCGAATCTCCTAGGAATATCGCGAATCTCCTAGGAATATCGTCCCCCTTTAGGAATTTCGCCCCCCATATAAATTTTGAATTTTTGATCTAAAAACAAAACGATTGCAAGTTGAAAAGATTTATTGTGTGATTTATTTATTTATTACAAGGAGACAAAATCACATACACATTTTAGGCTTCTCAGCAGCTGGTGGTGTGCACAGTTTGCATAACCACTCATTTGAGGTACTTAGACTAGTGTCATATTGTACACATCTACTGTAAAGTGGAACCATCACAGAGATCGCATAAAATCGTGTTGTCGTATTCTTCTGGCAGTTTACATTCACATAACATATTATAAAAACAATCGCTTGCAAATTTTATCAATATGAGTGTTAACAATAGCCGCCACAGTAATCACTTGCTAACAATAAACTATAGGATTAGTAAAAAATCTATGGAATGTGTTGGGAAGCGTATTGACTATTGTCCGTTGAATCGTCAACTTTCCGTGTCAGTGATGTAATCTTGATTCTTCACTTCGCAAAGAAAATTGCATTATGTATGTGGTGTGGTTTATTCAAATAATTTCACTGATACTTTGATTTTATTAGTGCATGCCTTAAACATTTGGGAATGTAACTCTGCAAAACTAAAAGCTTTCTTGTCTTTTTTGAAACGTATATTATTGGATTATTGCCTATTGGCAAGTTCTACCCTTCGCTTCTGAGATTTACAAACTATATTGAAATAATGCAAGTAAAAAAAGTGACAAACCATACATTTTCCGATAACGACAAAACGTGGATGCAAAACAATACCAATAATTACAATAACCACCACGGTGATTACTTTTTAACAATGAGTTTAAGGATTAACACTGAAAATGCAAAATATGCATGGTGTGCTGTGAAGCGTCATAA